CCCTCCAGTTATGCCCATAGCTACACCTGTGGAAGCCCGGGCTTGTCCGAGGATCTGCACAGGTGTAGCTGATTGGAACGTAGTGAACAATCCTCCTGATGATGTACAGACAGAACCCGCAGCTCATTCCGCCTTCCCTGTCCGCAGTGCTAACAGGAGCCAAAGGTAGCATCTGCTCATTTCTATCAATGAAGTGAGCAGATAGAATTCTGAGAATGGTTGAGTAAGAAGGTGCCACGTTTACAGAATTGCTTTTAAAACAACACTATATGGGGAAGAGCAGGGAGCCCTTGTGGGACTGGTCTCCCCCCGTATGCAGCTGTGGTGAAGCACGGGTTCCACTGTACCTGGGGACCTCAGGAACCAGGGAGGTGGGAACAGGTCCTGTTTGCTGGTGTGAAAAAAGGGAGGAGAGAGTTGGAAGAGCAATCTAGAATGCGCCTGTCTGACGTCCTGAACTGTACTTTTACTAGGCTGTCTTTGCCCCTTTTTAGATACATTTTAATTCAACTTTCTCCAGAAGACCATTTTCTGCTACTGTGCCAGTGAAACGTATCTGACCTGAAATATCAAGAACGTGCATTTACACTCTAATGGAAATACCAAAAACTTCACCTTTTAAAAAAAAAAAAAAAAAGCACAGATGTGAAATGTATGATACAAATTCTTAGTCCTGAGCATAGGATTTACTAGCTTGAATAGTGCCACTGAAAACAATGAGGTTACTCAATAAATTTGTTAGTCTCTACGGTGTCACAAGTACTCCTTTTCTTTTTTGCGGATACAGACTAACACGGCTGCTACTCTGAAACCTGTCAAGTGAATATACCCGGCAGGTTTTTCATGATCAGGCCTTTAATTGTATTTGTTATTTTCTGTATGTAGGTCCCAATCCTGCAATGACCTCTGGGTAGGCACTGGGAAGCAGGTTTAAAACAAAAGGAAGTATTTTTTCACACAGCACACAGTCAACCTGTGGAACTCCTTGCTAGAGGATGTTGTGAAGACTAAAACTATAACAGGGTTCAAAAAAGAACTAGATAAGTTCATGGGAGAATAGGTCCATCAATGGTTATTAGCCAGGATGGGCAGGGATGGTGTCCCTAGCCTCTGTTTGCCAGAAGCTGGGAATGGGCGACAGGGAGTGGATCACTTGATGATTACCTGCTCTGTTCATTCCCTCTGAACTTGGCATTGGCCACAGTTGGAAGACAGGATACTGGGTTAGAAGAACCTTTGGTCTGACCTCATATGGCCGTTCTTATGTTCTTTATATACACAAAGCTCATTGTGGCATCAGGGCCACAGTTTGCAAAGCGTGTTGGGAATAAAAGATGCTGTATTATAAAAATGGGATTCTCTATGGTATGGTTTGAGCTGTTAAATTGGAGCCAGCCTTTTCCTAATGATAAAACATATTTGACATTCACATCATGTTTTAGCTATTTTGTTAGCTTTGAGACACACACAGAGTAGCCAAGTATTCACCTGTTGATGTTACCAGGTTAAATGTCAGTTGGATGCATTATCAAGGGAAGATCAGTAACAATATACTTGTCTTTGAGCAATATTGTTATTATTTTTGCCTCTAAAATGTTTGTGTGGGGATGGGTGGAGGTATGGGACATGAGGTGCGAGTGAGCTCCGCATCAAATTGGTTTTAGGAAACTACATAGGGCCTGAATTTCAAACATGCAAAACACCCATGACGCCAACTAAAGTCAGCAGGTGCTCAGCATCTCTCAGAAGTCAGGTCCATAGGGTTCAGAAATCACCATAAGGAAAAAGTAAGGGCATGCCTCCCTGCCAGTCTGTAAAGACTGAGCCCATCAGAGGGACCTGGTTATATTTAATTGGCTCAGGAAGTCAATGGAGTTACACCAGGTGTAAATGAGAAGCAAATCAGGCCCCATGTATCTCTTCTTCTATAGTGTCATAATTTCATGGCTATCTTCTGATTAAGTGACCTGTGGGGAGGTAGCAGATGGCAAGTTAGAGAATACAGTGATATACTCCGGAGAACATAAACTTAATCTCTGTTACTTTAGAAGAAGAAGAAGAAGAACTGAGGACATTTAAATTCAATGTTGTGCCAAATAAAGGTGAAATTTCAAGTTATGTGCATTCCTTCTTGGTAAACCTTTCTTGAAATTGAAATAGCCTTCAGTTTTAAAGTAAGACTGCACTGTAAAAAGGGATACTGTCAAGTGAGCTTTTTAAGGATTTAAATTTTTTAGAAAGTGTTTTCAAACTTACATACTTCTTTTCAGAGTTTTTGCTTCAGAGAATGTTCTAAGTATCCCCACAGTTTGGCTAGATTTGCCATACAACTGCCCTTATTAAAGCAGCGTTGTGGTAGCCGTGTCAGTCCCAAGATATGAGAGAGAAGGTGGGTGAGATCCAGGGCTTTGGAGCTGTGCTCCAGCTCCGCTCCCGCTCCACGCAAAAACCTGCAGCTCCACTGCTCTGGAGCTCCTCCGCGCTCCAGTGCTGGGCTCTGCTCCAAAGCCCTGGATTGGTCCAATAAAAGATATCACCTCACCCATCGTGTCACTCTAATACTTAAGGCAGGGCAATGGGAAAAAGGCTCCTTGGTTCCTATAACTCTTGCTGTTTGGAGTTGAAAAACTGCCGTGCTAAAAGAGCTGACATACTCATTATTTTCCAACTGGTTAAAACAATAGGCTGGGACAGCAGAGTTCTGAGTTCAATTCCTGGCTCTGCTCTAGATTTCTGGTGTGAATTTAGGCAAATCACATAAGGTGAAATCCTGACCATAATTGAGGTCAAAGGGAGTTTTGCCACCGACTTAACTGAGATGAGGATTTCACCCACAGTCTCGCTGAAACTGAGATGGGAATAATAGTACTTTCCCACCTCATAGACGTAGTACGAGGCTAAATATATTAACAATTATGATGGGCTCAGATATTACAGTAGGTAGATGAGATCATTTGACTCTATCTAGGTTCTTATATAGATTCTATCTTGAAATGAGAGTTGGTGGTTTTTTGTTTTGGGTTTTTTTTGTCATTAATCTAGAGTTGTATTGAACATTTTACTAACTGGACCTTATTTCCATCTCTGGCCAAAGGAGATTTTTGTTGCTTAATTAAAAGTGAAAAGATTTGCATAGCAAGATAATGAACATTGACTATAGATTATACAGTCCAAAATAGTGTTCACAAATACCACAACAAATGACTTTTCATTTTTATTTTTAAGTGAATTTGCTTTCAGTGTTTTTGCTAATTGTAAACATTCTGGTGAACAAGTTTACTGGCAAAAATGCAAAGGTGTTTTCTGGAACAGTAAATTTTATGCCAACATTGGATGCTAGCTGGAAATGCATATTTTGAATTAGTAAAAATGAGCATTCACATTGAAATCTTGATTCTAAATATTATATTAATCCAGTCAGAGAACAGAAACCTACTATACCGTATCTAATTGTATAATGAAAAACGAACTCCTGGAGCTTCAGTATCAAAATACTTTCAACAAACTGCTCAGAAAAATATCTACAGTACAAAAGCTATATATAGAAATTACTTGTGAACAATTTCTATGCTTCTAACTCAGTTATGTTCCATTTCTTTGCTTTTCTTTAACATATCTATGCCAGCATTGTATGGCTCTGGATTTTCCCACTCCCTTATTGAATCTTTCTGTTTGCTTAAGTGAATGAAGCATCTATCCCATCTCAGATTGTCTGTTTTATGGCTGCACGTGATTGAAGGGGCTGAGAAACCATTATAAAATCTATTAGACAGTTTAATGCTCGCTTGGCCAGGTGTAAACTTGCTGCACTCCTCAGCAGTCAATTGGGCTTGATCCTTAAAGGTGCTTAGCAGCCTCGATTCCCGCTGAAATCAATTGGAGTTGAAGGTTCTCACCAGTGGGATGAGATTTTGTCTTCAGGCTAACTTTATCTGAAAGATGGAACATGAGCAGGACATGCAATTTGGGGCAAGTAAAAGACTGAAAATTCAACAATTTCTTGTCCTCTGTGTGGAGTGCCAGAAATGATATTTTTCCAGTATTTATTAACTTGGCCCGAGATTTCAATTCCTCTTGTTATGGGTTCCTAGATAGACATTTTTGAGAAGGGAACAAACGCTGTGTTTTTCTATTGATGCCAATGGAATCAAAATTTGGCTCTATGAACTTGGAAGGTTTGATAAAGCAACAGAAGTTTTAATTGTCAATATTCAGTAGAATCACTCTTCTAGACAAGCTTGAAGCTAGTAGAAAGCAGGGATTTCTATTAGCCACTGGACACTTAGCTGTTACAATAGCCAGGTGGAAGATAACAAAGAACCAATCACACAGTTACTTTGGTTTTAATTCAAGGAAAGATTATCAGTTTTAGGCCCTCAAGTGGGTTTCTTTGCATTTCCTTTAAATAGGAAGATGCATTTCAAATAGTTCAAGAATTACATTAAATCTGATCAATGCGTGCGGAAGATTGAACTCAGTGCCTGTAATGCTAGTTTCAGATTCAGGCTAAAAATTATAGTTAGCGGTTTTTTTATTTTTTTTTATTAAGTCTATCAGATATAAAGATTTGTACATGCAACTGTTTTTTCGATTTGAGTGTCAACAGGTCGAATTAGATTGTCAATAGTAGCGATAGTTGCCTGTTTAAAAAGCTGTTTTATCTCAATGTAGATTTGAGGTTCATAGAGAGCTTTTTTTTGCTCCATTGTTTAAGACAGCATTTTATAGATAGAGTGAGAAGAGAGAAGGTGCTTAAAAATTAATGCTATGTTGACAAGCGTCTTTTAGAGCCTATTATATGATAACAAGATGGTTTACCTATAATTTGTGTATGGTTATTTGCCTTTGTAAACATTTTTGTATAAGGAATATATAGAAGTAGGTCTCCACTCCTTTGTTTGCAGAAAAAGAATATGTGTTATGTTCTTATTTAACAGTACACAGTTACAACTGTTGAAAACATGTAACCTAAAAATTGCCTTTAATTTTCTTTTCTTTAGGAAAGGAGTTATTGATCCTATAACATGGAGGATTGCCTTCATACCTCTTCTGAAAACCTTTCCAAACTGGTCAGTTGGGCCCACAGCCATGGGACCATCTGCAGCCTCATTCCAAATCTAAAGCACTTGCTTTCTGAAGGTTCCCATGGCAACCTGACAGCTATGTGGGGCTGTAGCGCAGGCCATGCGTATCATTGGCCACTGACTGCTACCTGCAGGGCTGGGTCCCAGGAAAGAGTGTGTTTCCAGGACAACAGAAGCTTCAACTCGGACAGTCCCAGCATCATAGGTGTGCCCTCGGAGACACAGACTAGCCCAGTAGAGAGGTACCCTGGGAGGCCAGTGAAAGCAAAGTTGGATTGCAACAGAACCAGGGACTCCTGTGATTTCTCTTACTGCAGTGAGCCTTCAGAGCTAGATGAAGCCGTGGAAGAATACGAAGATGAGGCTACCCTCTTTGACATGGTCTGCGAGTCCTCAGTGACAGATGAGGATAGTGACTTTGAACCTCATACCCAAAGATCTCAAACCATTTCCCGCAAAAGGCCTGGTCCGGGCCAATCCTCATCATCTCTTTCAGGCTCCCAGTCTCAGGTCATTGATGAAAGCTGTAACAATGTGATCGTCAAAAAGATTAAGCAAGAAATCCCTGAAGATTATTATATTGTGGCTAATGCAGAACTTACCGGTGGCATTGATGGACCTGCATTATCGCTGACGCAGATGTCAAAGCCCAAGCCTCAAACTCATGCTGGACCTTCGTATATTGGCTCCTCTAAGCCCACCCCCACTGTAGCGCCTTCTCTCAGTGCTGAGCTAGACTTACAAAACGTGTCTGTTTCTCCCCCTGTCATATCGAGGCCTGCAGTTCAGAAGCCTGCAAGAGTAACTCTGGCTTCCCCAAACAGAGGACCAGCTAGCACCCCTACAGCCAACCAACAGGTCGCGCTCCAGATGCCAGTCAGTACTTCCAATACCAGCAAACAGATTAGCATTCCTTTATCAGCCCTGCAGCTCCCTGGACAAGAAGAGCAAGCTGCTTCAGAAGACCTTCTCCAACCCGTGCCAAATCAGGGTCCAGCCGGCGAAGTAGCATTATCTCCTTCAATTAGCGCAGAGCCGGAAGTCAGCTCTAGTCAGCAACAACCTAACACTGCGCCTATCATCACCGCCGAGGCAACAGTACAGTCAATACCAGGTATGAAACTATGGGAAGCTCATACTGTCATGCAGGGAATTCAGTGTCATTCTAAAGGACACATTTCTAAAACAAGAATTGCAGTTGAGAAAGTGAAATATTGATCATGGTCACTATGGGTTACAGGAAGGTATTACTAGATAAATCAGTAGCTAAGCACCCTCTATTGGAAGGGTGTTTGGAAAGCTTTCATTTAATAGAGCCCATAAGCACTTGATGTAGGATCATGTTAATCCAGGGATACTTCATAAAGGAACCAGCAGACTTTTTCTCTAAAACAGATAGATCTCAGAGTAGGTTACATTTGACAGCCACATAGTTCTGTAGTGCAATATCTATATGGGACGGTATGCTATCTAGTTATACATAAGGAGTTTTGAGACAGAAAAGCAGACTGTTCCATTCATTTGCTACATCAGAAAGATAAAATCTTAGTAAAAGCAATCTACAGTAGTGGTCAGTGCTTTCCTCTCCTTTCCTTATTCCTATCAAGAGAGCTGACATTTGAAATGCAGAAGCAGGGGAGAGGTGTAACAATAATGGCTGGAGAGAAGTTTGTCCTATTATAAATTTTTATTACATTTTTTCACCAACTTGTAAATCACAGCAGCCTGGAGAGACTGGAGAGAGAGACATATACCTTTAAACCTTAAAGTAAGAGTGCTTATACTTTAAATGAAGCAAAAGAGATCCTTTCCCATTTTTAGTGAACATTTTCTTTTCAGCGTATCCTTGTATTTCTTTGTGCCTCCCCCTGCCCTCAATGCAATGATGATATGTCTAACCAGATAAGTATTATGAAAACATAAATTTCTCAAAACAACACATTTCTGTTGATTAATCTTTTCATGCCAGCAATTCTGGAGGGAAATCAAATGCTTTGCATGGGGAAATCTGGTTCTCGGCACCAGGTTATTGAACAGTTAGATACTACCTGTTACACTGTGATCTTTACTGTTGTTGTCAAACAAAATGTTAGCTGTATGTAAAATTTCCAATATTATTCAATAAAACCCAGCAAAGCACCATAAGATAGAAAATGCAGAAGTTAGTGTTTTTCATTTTGCAACTAATGACTCTCATTTCTATCCATTAGACACTTCCTCACAGCAGTCCTGTCAGGTATAAATTATTTGATGGGGATCCTTCTATAAAACCGCAGCTAAATTCAGATCTGATTCTGTAGGTTAAGTCCTAGGGAGATGGATTGGTGGGCAGAGGTCAGATGTGGTAGTCAAAGGTTCATGGAAAATTCATTTATCACATAGTTCTTCAATTCCTCAAATAGCTATCACCTTCACATATGTTAGCAAGCCAGGTTCTGCAGTCAGTGATATCTGTGGAATTTCAACTTGCTGAGTCACAAACTTCAGTGGGTGCACTGGTATAACCCAGGGCAGAATTTTACTCTGATATGTGTTATCTCTGAGATTCCTTTGTTTTCTACAGGGTAGTAAAAATAATTTCAGTCTGCTGTAGCCAGCAGTTAACAGAGGAATGACGTGCAGCTGTACATTGGCAATGTTTTCATCAGCTCTTAGAAACTAAGCAACGTCAGGCCTGGTTATTACTTGGAATGGAGACTGCTAATGAAAATCTGAATGCTGCCCCTGAAGGGGTGCTGGTTAGGTTGACCTCTTCCTTGTGAATCAGTTCTGAACTAGTGTCCTAGGGAGATAGAGATTTTCTCTAGGATAAGATGCAAATTCAAGGCTTTCACAAAAGATGTCACAGCACTTTTTCCAAAGGCAGTGATATTCTCTTAGCTTTCTAGTAGTTTTAGCTAACTAAAATATTGTATACTTCCTGTCTTAACTCTTATGTAGTATTCCTTTATGCTGTTAAGCAGCTTCCATGTTCCACCCCAGAGATTACTGCATTTCAGCAAAGGGTAAAGGGATTGCTGTGTAGGTAAGGCTTGATCCTGCAATCCTTAGTCATGCCAATAAACACATTGAATTCAATGGGGACTTCTCATGTGGGAAAGGAATAACTGAACTAATAAATGTTTGTTTGAACCACAAATTTGTATTAATAAGTGTTTGTACCAAAAACCCCCCACAATTCTGCAAAGATGATCGAGCTGCTAAAATGTGAGACATGGTTTTAAAACCGAGTGGGGTTAATTGAAAAGTGAAAGAGATTCCGCACCTATCATAAATTTTTTAGGCTGTCTCCGGGCTGGATTTCTTATCAGACAGTAATTCACTACAAGTGGTGAATGATTTCACATGGAATTTGAATTCCACTAAATCGTGAGAGGAGGATTGTCCATCCTACATGACACTTTTCTATCTGAGCTCCCTATAAACCAGGAGCAATATAACTTTTTACTCAGTAGGGAGAATGAACTGGATTTGAAAACAGGAACCTTTGCCATTGGTTTATAGACTCAATTATAGTGATAGTTTCCTAACAAAAATACTACTGAAAATAAACATGGAGTTTAAATTCTGTCTTTTCTCCAACAACTGCTTTCTTATTTCCAAAGTAACACCTAAGGCCCTGATCCTGCTAAAATTGGTGCACATGCTTAACTTTGTGCACTGCTGATGTCAGTGGGGCTAACTCAGTGTGTGAAGCAAAACACATGGGTGGATCTTTGCAGGATCAGGGTCCACGCTGATTAGTTGTGATTACTAGCTGCAGCCACCACAATGAAGACATATTGTTTAACATATTCCTGTAACAGGGGATGCACTCTTGAGCAATTTTTTCCAAAGATTATAGTACATGCTTTGCAATGTAAAAAGGTTGATAATGGTATGTTTGGTATTGGACTGGATTCGGATCAGGCTCCAAAATGCGTGGTCATACTGTTTTTACAGTTCTTCCTTTCTATACCATCCACCCAACCTGACTGCCTGCTTCAGACCTGTGAAAGGGCAGAGGATTGAAGAATTTTATACTAGCACAAGATTCTTGTCCATTGCACTTCCCTGCTTGCTCATAAAAAGCTGGGTAGACAGAGTAGGGGGGCCTGTAAAAATGCAAACTTGGCCAGGAATCAGAATAAAAAACCTTTTCCGGCTCCCACTGAATTCAATGATAAAACTCCCATTGATTTTATTGGTATCAGGGTACTGCTTGTGTCTTGTAGATGGAGTGATGCAACTGGGATTCAACTCTTAGGTCTTGAAAGCCCTCAAACTTGTCTCTGCTTTAACTAAGGTTGTGTTTTTGAACAGATTTAGTTAAATCAGCTCAACCCTCGGGTCGTGAACTCTTATATCAGTTTTAAACTGGCTTAAATCAATTTAGCTTAATTCATTAAGAGATCGGCTTAAGTTGCATCGATATAAGCAATCAGTTTGAATGTCCACACTGGGGTTTTGCACTGGTTTAACTTAATCTAATTTTAAAGTGATTTTAGTTAAACTGGTACAACTTTGTATATAGACAGAGGACCAGATTTACAAAGATATTTAGGCCCCGAAAAATGCAATTAGACATTTACTGGGATTTATAAAAGCACTAGGTGCTAACTTGGAATGAGTTCAGGGCTCAGTCTGAGGATGGTGGCTTATGTTGAATTAATTTCTTAAATTGTATAGTTTATTTTTCGAGCATAACAAATAGGAACTCCTCTGTGTTTACAAGTTGATTACTGTACAAGTTGAAAAACTGATTACTGTAACCTGCTATACTCATTAACTCTGGACAATTCCCTATCTTATGCCATGCAAGAAATGGCTAATATCTAGGCTTTCTGTGTGGAGCGACTGAGGGAGCTATGTCCGAGAAGCCTGTGCTCCCAGAAAGATCTTTGTCACCTTTCCTGTTGCCAATTCCTGATGAGTCCTTCAGGGCAGGACCTGGCAAGGGGAAGGTCTGCTGCACTGCTGAAGCTGTAATGTGAACAGGAAGCATCAGGTTTTCAGAGGGCAAGGTGTGGCTGGGCGGGATGCCCTCTGAGAGGGTATCGCTACATGTGGAAAAGACCTTGTTTACTTGCTGGAGGGCAGGGAGGGAGCTGTAGCTCAGAGGGAGATGTAGGGAGGTAGCATTGCTAAAGTACTTAAGAGGAATGACTAGTCTTCAGCGCTGTGTTGCAGAACGCTCAGAGTGGGTGTGTCCTAGGAGTCCACAATGTCATAATTTATCTCTTTGGTCAGACACTGTCCCAGCAACATGAACACAGCAGAAGAGGGTTCCCTTAGAATCCATTGAGAGGGTTTCACATTCAAATATACTAACTGGGAAAAGGACACCAAGAATTACTGGGTGAGGTTCTATGGCCTGTGTTATGCAGTATGTCAGACTAGCAGCTGCTCATAGAGGTCCCACCTGGCCTTGCAATCTTCGAAATGTGAAACATATGTAATAGAGTAAAACCTCTGAATGGTAAGTGTGATCATGAGATTTGTCAGCTCCATGGCAAATCCTATCCATCCTTCACCAGCATGATGGTGGTTACAAAGTTGGGTGCTGCTTTTCCATGAAGGTAGAGTCAGGACAAGAAACGGGACCCCTTTAGCCACCATCCCTCCCTCCCTCTGGCAGAAGCCTCAAACATCCTTCCTCCCCACGTGGTTACCAGAAATTAGCTATACATTAAACATGAGGCCAGATTATGTGAGGGCCTACGCTGGATCTGTGCACAGCTGCACTGGCCCTTAGGGAGCTTTGGGAGGCATCATGCAAGGGGCGTTGGCCTGCTGCACCCTCCTTTAAAAGGATGAAGGATGCTGCTTGTTGTGCATTTGGCTAATCTTGCTGTCCCATGTGGGTGTACCACCTTCTCCTCATCCCAGGGGGTGCTAGCAGGGATTCCTGGATTCTGTATAGGCTCTTTATATCCTTCCCTTGCCGTGCATAGCTTATGCTGTTAGGTGCCCCCCAAAATCATGAGATTTATAAGAATATAATACATTTTTGGTTCTTTTTATTTGCCTTCTTTTTTTTTGAGCTTTTCAGGGACAAATTTTCAAATTTTTCTCTGCAACCAGAAGGACTAGAAACATCCTTTTTATATTAAATGAAAGCACATAATCATATGA